CCCTCGGCCCCTGCCACCTCGCGGAGGGGACAAAGAGGGGCCGGGGTTGAAGAATGTGAGCGGGTATGAGAGGCAACTGGAGAGGAGAGCGAGGACGGTTGAGGTTCGGGTTCCTGAGCCGGGGATTCTGGGGGAGGAGAAGGGACAGGGCGTTTCCGGGACGGCAGGAGAAGTCGGGGGAAGAACGGCTCGGTCAGGGGGACGGTAAAGAGGAGGAGAGGAGAGGAGGTCAATGAGGTCAGGGTTATCTGTTGAATCAGAGGTCTTTGGGGGAGGTGGGGCGGCGGGTGAGTCGGGATTTTTGGGAGAAGGCGGAGCAGTGGGAAGAGGGGGGTTGCTGCTGGCTAGGAGTATCTGACAGGTTGAGCAGGGAGAACAGAGGTCGGGGCGGGAACGTATGTCCCAAAAAGCCTGGACGTAGGGGACCTCAGAATCTTTGCCCGTGCGCCGGCAGTAATTATCCAAGTCTGTTAGAACATTAAAGTCAAAGGTGCCAGTTGGGGGCCAGCGGGACTGGTTATCTAGAGGATATTGAGGCCATTGTTGTTGTGAGAGAGAAATTAAGCGTTTGGCCTTGAGTGTCTGAGTGTACCCCAATTTGGAAAAATTTTTAAGGAGACACCCTAGAGGTGTCTTAGGATCTGGCCTGGACTCTGAGACTCCCATAGTTGAGGGGTTTCCTGCTCCCCGAGATTAGAGACAAAGCACCAAGGGAGGCGTCCCACTGATTGGTACAGAGTCCCGGTTCTGGGTTGGGGTCTGAAGAGGACCAAGGACGTCTCCTTTGTCCCCAAAGAGACCGGACAGTGGCCCTCGGAGGGCGGAGGAGTTCTCTTGGCACGGCCGCGACTTCGGACAAGAGGCTCCAGACGGATCTCGGAGAGCAGGAAGGAAAGGGAGGGAGGTTTCCCGTGTGACTTACTGGAGATGGAGTCCGGGGGAAGTCCAGGCCAAGGTCCGGGGCGGCAAACCGGGGAAGTGAGCCGGACCAGCCAATCGACTCGGACCCGGAACCTCAGAGTCTGGGAGTTAGCCCGGGCGAGCTGCCACTGCCCACTGCTTCCCAGGTCATAAGAGGAGACCGGGGCGAGGATCGTCCGAGTCCGAGACCCACTCCCGGGTTTCGGCACCAAATCTTAGGTTTTACGCCGCCGCAAGAGTTTGGTCATTGTCGGGGAGCCGATTGTCCAGCAGGGATTTCAGACGTCAGTGTGGACAGGTCAGCTTCTCACTGGCCCAAGAGAGGGAGGGGGTCCTTCCGCCCCCGGAACAGGGTGCCAGCGAATACCAGACATAGACTACTGGCATAATAAATTTATTATCAATTTAAAGGCATAAACATCCACTAGGGTTATATTTTTGGACTCAACTATTAATGATCAGCATTACATTACTCTAAGATGATATAGTGCCCTAGAAGTAGAAAAAATTTTCTTTTTTGTCAAAATGTCACTGAGAACTGAGTTTAATAGTAAGATTGTTCAGTGTCATATTTTTAGAAAGAAAATAGCACTATGAATTTGAACACATTTGAGAAAAATAGCAACATCATTCTCCAGATAAATTAAAACATATCTTTATAATAATAGGTTCAAAGTGATAAATAACTTGCTTCTTTCCTATGCACATGCTCTTCTACTGTTTCAAGTATCAAACTGTATTTAATGTCATATTCAGTAGCAAAATGTTTTAAATTATGACTTTGTATTAGTTCAAAATATTTTCATCCTCCATTTCATTTTTTCATGAAATTTGAACATAAGGACAGTTTAAACATTATTTAATACTAGAGACCCGATGCACAAATTCATGCACCAGTGGGGTCCCTCAGTCTGGCCTGCAGGATCAGGCCAAAACTGACTCTCTGACATCTCCTGAGGGGTCCCAGATTCCAAGAGGGTGCAGGCCAGGCTGAGGAACCCCACTAGTGCACAATCGTGGCTGGGGAGTGATGTGGGAGGTTGGCCAACCAGGGAGGGACTACTGGAGGGCTCCAGGGCATGTCTAGCTAATCTTGCTCAGTCCCAATCAGAGGGACCCCAGTAGCAAGCTAACCTACCAATTGGAGCATCTACCCCTGGTGGTCAGTGCACGTCATAGTGAGCAGTTGAGGAACCTTAGCATATCATTAGCAGATTACACTTTGATTGGTTGAATGGCTGACTGGTCGACTGGACACTTAGCATATTAGGCTTTTATTATATAGGATAGAGGCCCAGTGCATGAAAATGTGTGCATTAGGGGGGGTCCCTCAGCCCGGCCTGCACCCTCTCACAATCTGGGACCCTTCGGGTAGGGTCCCTAGGCCTGGCCTGACATCAGGGCCTATCGGGGCTTTCCTTCCCCCTACTGCAGGCAGCTGGCCCTACCCCCACTGCTGCCACTGCTTGCCATCTGTGCAGCGCTCCCCCCCCACACACACACTGGTGGCCTCCCTCTGCAGGTGACGGGCTGGGGTGCAATTGCTTGGCTAGCCTAGGCTTCCCTCTTTCTTTGCTGGGGGGCGGGGCCAGCCCTGCAAGGGGCCATCTGCCTACCTGATCTCCCCTAACCACTGGTCTGCTTACCTGATAACCCCTAACCACTGGTATGCCTACCTGATCACCCCTAACCACTCTGTCTGCCTGCCTGATTGCCCCTAACCACTTGCTTGGGGGCGGGGCCAGCCCTGCAAGGGGCCACGGTGGTCTGGTCGCTGGTCATTCCGGTCGTGATGCCTCTGACCTTTTATTATATAGGATGTTTAGAATATCATATATGTTTAAATCATTATTTAAAGTGGCAAACAATTGGCAAGAATAATGTAACAGATTCCAATTTATTTAAATGTATAATATTGCTTTTAAAGTGATAATCTAATTTAAAAAATCGTTTTATTGATACTTTGACAAAGACTGCATGCACTTAATTGCATGAAATTTAATAGAAGGAAATACTTAGTGGTGCCAATAATTTCTCTATGTTCATGAGGGGCTGGCATTTTGGGGAATCATGCCATTTCAGTCTATGTACACAGATCTTAAGACATCAAACACAGCCCTGGTCAGTTTGGTGCAGTGGATACAGTGTCACCCTGGGGACTAAAAAGTCTGGGTTCGATTCTAGTCAAGGGCACATGTGCAGGATGTGGGCTCGATCCCCAATGGGGGGCATGCAGGAGGCAGTGAATCGATGATTCTCTCTCATCATTAATGTTTTAATCTCTCCATTTCCCTTCCTCTCTGAAATCAATAAAAATATATTTTAAAAAAAGAAATCAAATATAGACTTTTGCTCTATTTTCTGTGCTGAGAATTTCTGCCAGCCAATTAATCAGGAATCCCCACCAGGATGACCTCTGTGGCTCCAAGGCCAAGGAAATATAGATTGTGGATGGGAGCAAAGACTGATGAATTATTAAAAACTTCTTTGAGATTCCAAAATGGCAGTGACATAAGTAGATGCTACACTAACATTCTCCTAAGACCAAACTGGAAATACAACTAAAATACAGGGGGGAAAAACACAAAACACCCTGCAAAATCAACTGAAGACAAGCTGGAGAGAACCCTGATAAGCAAAGATGGAAAGTGAAGACTGCATAGAGACTGGTAGGAAGTATGGAGGCAGGAAAGGGCTGGCCAGGCTCCCACAGACAGCAGCTAAAATTCCAGAGGGGTATCTCAGCTGTGGGAGGTTCACACTGAGAATTATGGTGTCTAAACCCCAAACTAGGCTCCCCAGACCAGAGCATCAGAACTGAGAAAGGTGCCCACTTAATATCTGACTATAAAAAGCAGCAGAGTTACTGTCTGGCTCTGAGAGACAGCTGGAAAGACAGGCACACTCTTAAAGGGCCAATGCACAAAATTTTGTGTACAGCTACTCATATTGGACTCGAGCAGAGGGAGGGAAGAGTGAATCTGTATGAGTAGAAGCCAGAATTGGGGACTTTGGGGTTAGAGCTCACAGAGTAGCCACCTGTTTCCTGTGCTGAGTCCTTCCTGCATGCTGTGAAATAAATGATTATACTGCAGAGCTTTTCTATCCAGGCAGTTTTTGCCTGGGCGGGGAGGCAGTTGCCACACTCTGTTGAAAGACCTCTTGCTCTAGCCTATTGGGAGACCTATTGCCTCACCCTGTGGTCCACAGCCTGAGGCTAATCAACTCTGAGTGTCAATGGGACTGCAAACAGAGGCAGGTTTCTGGAGGCTTTGAGTCTTTGCCTGATATAATCTTGGGACTGGGGTTAGGAAAAGCAGACCCTGGTGCACATCTCGGTCATTTCCAAAGGCACCCAGCAAAGGGAGCCACAAGCTGTGGATAGCTGATAGCTCCAAGCAGAGTATGCAGGACCAGTCAAAAATAATGTTTGACATTGTTCTGCAGTAGAGATTAGGAGGCATGGCAGATCTGTCTAATACACAGACACAAACCCAAACAGGCAGCCAAAATGGGGAGATAAAAAACAAGCCCCAAATGAGAAAACAATAGAATTCTCCAGAATAAGAGCTAAATGAAATAGAGATAAGAAATTTATCAGAAATAGAGTTTAGAAAAAAGATGCTCAACAGCATGGTAACGGATATAGTAAACATGAAGAATGGCATAGCACTAATAAAGAACACAGTGGTAGGAACACACAGCAGATTAGAGAAAGCCAAATGTTGGATCAGTGAATTAAAAGACAGGGTATAAAAAAAATCACTCACTCAGAGAACTACAAATTAAAAATAATTAACATATTTGGAGAGCCAGAGGAGAATAAAGTGAACAAGGGATAGAGAACATATTTGAAGAAATAATGGCAGAAAATTTCACTAACCTGTTGAAGGAAAAAGTCACACAAGTTCAGAAGGCAAAGAGAGTACCATGAAAGCAAAACCAAATAGGCCCACACATAGACACATCACTTTTAAATGCAAAAATTAAAGACAAAGAGATAATCTTAAAGTCAGAAAGAGAAAATCAATTTCTTACCTACAAAGGAGCTCCTATAATGCTATCATCTGATTTTTCATCAGAAACTCTATAGGCCAGAAAAGAATTCAAGACAATGAAAAGCAAGGATCTGAAATCAACATTACTATATCCAGCCAGACTATCATTAAAAATAGATGACAAAATAAGGAGGTCCCAGACAAAAAAAAAAAAAAAAGGCTAAAGGAGTTTGTCACTACCAAACCAGCATGGCAAGAAATGCTAAAGAGACTGCTATAATGAGAAGAAGAAATGAGAGAGAGAAAAAAAACATATTCATAAATAATTAAAATGCCAATACAAATGTGTCTATATTAATAAAGGGTAATATGCTAATTAGACAGGACATCTTCCCAATGACCTTCCAGACAAAGCCAAGGCAGGGCCAAGGCAGAGGTGGTTAGGGGGATCAGGCTTGTAGGGGAGAGCAGTTAGGGGGATCAGGCAGGCAGGCAGGTGAGCAGTTAGAAGACAGCAGTCCTGGATTGCAAGAGGGATGTCCGACTGCCAGTTTAGGCCCAATCTCAAGGAGTCCTGGATTGGAGAGGGTGCAGGCCAGGCTGAGGGATGCCCGCCCCCCACGCACAAATTTCGTGCATCAGGCCTCTAGTCAGTAATAAACTTAAATGTAAATGGATTAAATGCTCCAACCAAAATAGATAGGGTATCTGAATGATATCATGACCCGATTATATGCTACTACAAGAGATCCACCACAGAACACACAGGATGAAAGTGAAGGGAAAGAAAAAATTTTCTAGGCAAATGGAAAAAAAGAAGAAAGCTGGGGTAGAAACACATATATCTGACAAAATAGACTTCAAAATGAAGGCTATTACAAGAGACAATTAAGGTCACTACATAATAATAAAGGGATTCATCAAAAAAGAGAGGATATAACCCTGGTAAACGTATATGCACCCAATAGAGGAGCACCTAAATAAAAAATTATATTAAAAAAAAAACACAAGAAACCAAGATGGCAGCATAGGTAAACACCAAAATTGCTGCCTCCTACAACCACTTTAAAAATACAACAAAAAGACAAAACAGACATCATCCAGAACTACAGGAAGGCTGGCTGAGTGGAAATTCTACAACTAGAAGGAAAGAGAAAAGCACACTGAGACTCAGAGGAGGTGAGGAAGTAAAGTGCAGAGGTACAGAGGCTCGAGT